TGTGTGTGTGTGTGTGTGTGTGTGTGTGAGAGAGAGAGAGAGAGAGAGAGAGAGAGAGCGAGCACCTTTCCCTACTACCACACTGTTTTGAGTACTGTAGCTTTATAGTATTATTGAAGTCAGGTAGTGTGAGTCCTTGAATTTTTTTTCCAAAATTGTTTTGGCTATTCTGTTACCTTTGTCTTTTTATATACATTTTAAATTCAGATTGTTGATTTTTATAAAAGAAACATTGCTTGGATTTTCATTAATGTTTCATTGACTCATAGATCAGTTTTGGGAGAACTGACATCTTTAACAGTATTGAATCTTCCAAACTATGACCAGTATCTCTCTCCATTTACTTAGATCTATTCTGATTCTTTTCGTTGGTGTTTCTTGTGTTTAGCATACAGCTTTTGCATATAGATACTTTGTATATTTGGATACTGTGGATTTCATGAGGGGTTTTTTGGTGATGTTATAAATGGTACTTTGAAAATTTCACCTTTCAATTTTTCAATGCTAATAAATAGAAATAAAATTGATTTTATGTATTGATGCCTTTTAGCTCTTTGAAGACCTTAAACAAAAATGGAAGCTCACCAAAGCAAAATTTGCTTTTCTAATATTTTAAAAAGTGCAAATTACTCTTTTTTGTCTTAGTCTATTTTATTTTTATTTTTAAATTTTAGGAATTAATTTTTATCAAAGTATAGTTGATTTACAATGTTGTGTTTCTGGTGTACAGCATAGTGATTCAGTATACAGATATATATATATTCATTTTCATATTATTTTTCATTATAGGTTATTGCAAGATATTGAATGTATTTCCCTGTGCTATACATTAGGACCTTGTTGTTTATCTATTTTATACATAGTAGTTTATATCTGTTAATCCCAAATTCCTAATGTATCCCTCCCTCGCCCTTTCCCCTTTGGTAACCATGAGTTTGTTTTCTATGTCTGTGAATCTCTTTCTATTATATAAATAAGTTCATTTGTATCATTTATAAGACTCCACATATAAGTGATGTCATATGATATTTGTCTTTCTCTGACTTAGTATGATAATGTCTTAAGTCTATTTTAAAATGTAGATCACTATGACAGCTTTAATTTGTTCTTTCAAAATTGTTGCATAGTATTCTGTTAGACATGAAAACATGTATTTTGAGTATGAGGTTTAACTGAACAATTTTAAATCATCTTAAAAAATACTATTATAAAATGTAGGCTGTTTTCCATTACTGGTCTCACAGGAACTTTCTTAATGGTAATAATAGGCCACTCATGAATAGGTTTAGTTCTTAGTTTTGTTTCTTTTGGTATTTTCTATTTTCTGAAGATCTTCAGATATGTCTTTATGTAATATTGTTACAGATTTTGGACTCAGCAAGGAATCAGTTGATCAAGAAAAGAAAGCCTACTCGTTTTGTGGTACAGTGGAATATATGGCTCCTGAAGTAGTAAATAGGAGAGGTCATTCCCAGAGTGCTGATTGGTGGTCATATGGTGTACTTATGGTAAGTACTGTTTTTTTTTAAATCATGCCAATATAAAATTAATATTGTTTATAATGTTAATCTGAGTTTTGGGATGTGTTAGGTGAAAATAGGGTTCTGAAAGTTCTTGACTGTCATTAAAAACTTGTGATTGGCTAGCTGTTATATAATAATAATTAGGATTTTGGTGTTCTGATTTCTTTTAAAGTTGCTAGATTAAAAGGTAAATGGCAGCATTCTTTTATAAATTATTCAGATTTAAAACTTAGAAAAAGGCCTACCAGATTTTAGATTTCAGAATGCTGTGTTTAGCAGTTACATGGTATTTTAATTAGATATCACAGAGTTTAGCACCTTACTGTATAGTCTTATTGTCACATTGTTTCAAGCATGTCCCTAGAAAGACTTTAAACCTCTTCAGGAGATCAATCCTGTTTTCTACTACTTTTCATCTCCCACAGTATCTAGCATAGTAAGCATATGGACTGACAAATTTGCTTGAAGATTAAGCATACAGTTTGTAGTATTAGTAGGGTGATAAATGAATAGCTATTGAATCAGATATAATTTGCTTTTGAAGCCTAATAATCCATCTTTGCCTATTTATCACTGAATTACTGTATGATATATCGATATATTAAGTGGCTGTTATAAGCCTGGCATTTGGTGAGGGCAGTGTGGTGGGAACAAACTAGGAGTACTACATTTGGCATTTTCTATGACTTAAGAAGGCATGCTATCTGGTTGGAGAAACAAATGGAATAGCTAAATAAACTCTCTGGAACTACCTTAGGAATTCAGGCAAGGATTCATATAAGTTGACGTAGGAAAAGCAGAACAGGTAGAACTAAAATCAAGCCCTGAAAGATGGGTAAAATTTAAATAGTTGCATGTCAAGAAGGATTGTTCTGTGGTAATATTAGGAAAGACCTGGAGAACCAGTTTGACTAGAGTGGTAGTGGAAAATGAGGGTGAAGGTGGAGGAAATGAGGCTATAAGCTTATAAGCATTTACGTACAATTCTCTGGGTGGTAAGAAACTTTTGTAGATTATTTTTTTAACATTTTTTATTGATTTATAATCATTTTACAATGTTGTGTCAGATTCCAGTGTTCAGCACAATTTTTCAGTCATTCATGGACATATACACACTCATTGTCACATTTTTTTCTCTGTGATTTATCATAACATTTTGTGTATATATCCCTGGGCTATACAGTATAATCTTGTTTATCTGTTCTACAATTTTGAAATCCCGTCTATCCCTTCCCACCCCCTTGGCAACCACAAGTTTGTATTCTATGTCTATGAGTCTGTTTCTGTTTTGTATTTCTGTTTTGTTTTGGTTTTTTTTTTAGATTCCACATATGAGCGATCTCATATGGTATTTTTCTTTCTCTTTCTGGCTTACTTCACTTAGAATGACATTGTCCAGAAGCATCCATGTTGCTGCAAATGGCGTTATGTTGTTGGTTTTTATGGCTGAGTAGTATTCCATTGTATAAATATGCCACATCTTCTTTATCCAGTCACCTGTTGATGGACATTTAGGCTGTTTCCATGTTTTGGCTATTGTAAATAGTGCTGCTATGAACATTGGGGTGCAGGTGTCATCCTGAAGTAGGGTTCCTTCAAAAATCCACAAATGACAGATGCTGGAGAGGCAGTGCAGAAAGGGGAACCCTCCTACTCTGCTGGTGGGAATGCAGTTTGGTGCAGCCAGTATGGAAAACAATGTGGAGATTCCTTTTGTAGATTCTTAAACAGGATGGTAATTAAAGAAAAAATGTATTTTAGGAAGATTAGCCTTGGTAGCATTATATAAATGGATTGGAAATGTAGGAAACTAGAAGTAGGGAGACCAACAAGTTCTCCTTAGAAGATAGTTGTAAGGTTACATAATAAAAAGGGAAATCTTAAAGACATTTCAAAGGAAGAAGTAGCTGACCTTAGTCACAGATTAAATGTCACAGATGAAGCCTAGAGGAAGGGTCAAAAATAAAGATACCTCTAAAATGTATGAATTTCAGGGGATTGAAAGAGTGGTATTTCAGTGGAAAAGAGATAGCTGGGAAGGACAGCTGGTTTTGGAAGTGGGGAAAGAACTTATTTTTAACATGTTCTATAGGTTAGTGTTTAACCTTGTGGTAGTAATGAATTAGGAGAGGGCAGTGAAGAGAGCATCAGAATCATCAGGAGACCTTAAAAAACAAACAACAAATAAACAAAAACAACAAAACACTACTATGCCAGCCAGCATATAGTTTATTTGAGGGGAAAATGTGGTGAATATACTATCCTTCTCTTTTTCTTTTTATTCTTGCCATTTCCACCTCTCACTGCTCCAGTCCCCAGGAGAGAATCATTACTTTAGGTTTAGAGATATGGTTCTGGAGCTTGAGAGAGATGAACTACATACACCATACTTCCCTTCTTCTTCATTACCTTTTTGTGACTCCTACCCCTACTTCTTCATTCTCCAGTTGAGAACCATTACTGTCAATACAGAAGGGAAGACTTCCGTTTCCCTTCCCTGAGATAGACTGAAGCTGGAACTGATTTTGAGAGTCATCAGAGTGTAGGAAAGGGTTGAAAAGATAAGCTAATTAAGTTTGTGAGTTCAAATAAATGAACAAGGACTGAGGCCAAAGCCATTATTCAATATAAGTTGAAGATTTAAATATTAGGGATATAAAAACTTTTCTCTTTAATGAACTGTAATGATCTTCATTTTCAGATTTACTTTTTAAATTATTTAATGTTCTGGATATCTGCATTGCAATTAAATCTCTTAGGGAAAATATTTTTATGCTGTGTACAACCATCTCAGATTAAATATATATATATATTCTTGTTTGGTCCTTTTTTAGGGGAGTGAAGGGAATGAGAATGATTATCCTTCTTGAGCGTGTGTGAATTTGAAATGGTTTTGTGCTTATTTTTACTTTTCTTTCATTGTCAAATATTTGCTTTAAAGGTTATCTTTGTTTTAAAAGAAAATGCCTTGTGTATTTCCAAATTGCTTTGGTTTGGGGAACTTGGCCAAATAAGAACTGAAAAAAAAACTGATTGGTTTCATTTGTTTCAAGTCATCTTTCACATATAGTAGGGTATCAGAAGTCTATTTCCTTAAGTCACCTAGTTTTCTGGTCATATTTTGACCTATTATCATGTAGATCCTGCATAATTTGATGATCATGTATTATAAGTCTCTTTTTTTCCTAAAGATTTTCATTGTATATTCTAAGTTGTTCTAAATGGACTTGTACTGTTTTTTGTTTTAGTTTGAAATGCTTACTGGTACTTTGCCATTTCAAGGTAAAGACAGAAATGAGACTATGAATATGATATTAAAGTAAGTGTAAACACTATTTTTTTTCTTTTGGGAAAAATTTCTTGCTTTTGGTTTTGAGAAACTTGTTACGATTTTCAGTTGATACAAAAGAACATTTTTCACACTCGTTCCCTTCTCCTACCATATAGGGAACATCATATGCCATTGTGGAAAGCATTCTTTAAAATTCTTTTTGGGATTTGTCAATTTGGAATTATGGCTAGATTTAAATGAAATTTTCTGAAATCCTCTTTTCCAGAGCAAAACTTGGAATGCCTCAGTTTCTTAGTGCTGAAGCACAAAGTCTTCTAAGGATGTTATTCAAAAGGAATCCAGCAAACAGATTGGGTATTGTTTATTTTCTTAGCTTTTATAACAATATACTACATGCTTTGGGAGGATAATTATAACTTTGTTTTCTGGCTTAAGTTCATTTACTGCTGCTATATATTTATACCTGGAATTTTGCACTTTGTATATGCAAAGATTCCAGAAAACTGTTTATGTCCATGATAAAAAATGGAGTGGTCTAGTTATTCAGAACTTCTGTTTAATATATATCATTATGTATATCATATGAATGTCTCTTTTGACATAATTCACAGAATTTTCCCCTGTGTAGGTAATCCTTTTAGATATTTGAAGATAATTATTTTGTCCCTTCCAATATTCATCAAGGTAAATATTATGTTTCCATAACTGCTCATTATTTGGCCACTTTCTAGTAGCCTTTCCCCGAATCCAAATGTGCTCCTATTATTTGTGTTCTTGTATTAAAATTTTAGTGTCACTTTACTTGTTGCATTTTTAAAATTTCAGCATATAGATATGAGGTCATAAACTGAATTATGAAGAAAAGAAAAAATACTTAAATTTTAGTGTTATGTTAAACATGATTTTGATTTGATTCAGAAAGCATTTCAGTATTTCATGATACTCTACATGCTTCAGTATGAACATCAGCTATTTTTTTATCATATTAAATTCAAAGGACCAATTAGAACATCAGATAATAAGTCACAAACTTTTCACTACATGGGATCTATGAAATGTGTGTACTTCTGTTTATGAATGATAGCCTGAAAGCTAGGTAGGCAGATTAAAAAAAAATCATACTGGTAAAAAATTCTTTCCGTTTTTATAGGTTCGGAAGGAGTTGATGAAATCAAAAGACATCTTTTTTTTGCAAATATTGACTGGAATGTAAGTTCAGTAGAAAGTTTGTTACTGTGTACCTTTAATTAGAGCAAAAACTGAAGAGTAAATGGTAATATATGGACTTTACTGATAAACTTAATCCATTTGTTTTATATTTAGTATTAGATTTTTATTTATAGGTGTAGCATATCATGGCAGTTACCTTGAACCAGGAGATGTGTAGATGGTATTAATTAATTTTTGTTTCTCATTTGTCTTACCTGTTAAGTGTGGTTAACATTCTCTCCTATTCTAGGTTGGGGAATGTAGGGGGAAGAAGAGAAAGGAGAACAGGGATGAATGATAGGGCAGATTCTTATAGAAAAAAATGAATTCTAAAGCATATGAAATGTTATTTAATTTCAAATGGTTCTGTGCCATGTATTTGAACAAACAGGTTGATCACCCACTGTGAATTGGGTGCCCCTGAGGAAATACAGTTGATACCCGGATTTGGGTGCCCTGATGATCATGTTAAATTTGTTAAGAAGTGAATATCATTGTATAGGTATTTCACTAAATTTTGAGAGAACATGAAAACAGAAACATTGAGACATTCTGCTAAGTCATGTATTGAAATTTTTTAAGCTTCAACTCCCAGACTAGTGAGCTTTTCTTAGAAAAGCTTACTTTTTGATGTTGTTTTTGCAACACAACTTTATGTATTTTATGTACAATTAATCATCATAGGTAAGCTTTTCTGATAACTTAGTTCTAGCATTGATACTGAAAATTTTTCCGAAAGATGAAGTGTCTCTTTTGATTTGTAATACAGAGGTAGAAAGACCCTATTCACTAAACAAATTATTATTTCATCTGGTTTAAGAACAACTTTCAGAAGGCAATATTTTGATTTATTTTTTATAATTGGAAAACCATAATATAACATAAGCCATTAGTATTAATAACCTAAAATGCTACTCAGTGAACGTGCTGCATGGGAATCTGCTCTTTGTCATATCTGTATGCATCCTTCTTTCAGTATTGTTGCATCCCCTTGTCATTTTTTTCTACTGCTTTTCTACTCTTCCTTTTCCCTTAACTAGACAAACTGGAAATTATTTTTCCATCATTTTTATATCTAAACAGTTTATGTTTATTGTTCTTAAATAACAAAGGAGCAGAATGTTTACATATTTAAATAAATGAAACTTACTTTAAAGTAATCCTCTATTAGTTTTCCCCCACTTCGGGTCTGTGAGCTTTTAAAAAAATACATTTCCCCCAAAAAGTAGGTTTTTATATATTATAAAATATTTTATTTTTTTCAGAAACATAAATTTTAGAAAGTTAGATTGTTAGACAAGTTTAAGTTTTTGAATTCTATAAAAGAGCTCTAAACAGTGCATTTGATGCATTTTTTATGTGAAAAAATATTTTGAGTATAATACATACTTCTTGGGGATAGACTAATTATTAATTTTGAAATCCTCAAATGTTATTAGTTATTTCTGCATGGTAACATTGTGATATATTCTGTATGGTTATTTTACCAGTGAGAATTCAAGTCAGTTTTTGATATCCAAAACTGAACAGCGTTCTTCCTTGTGAATGCAAACTGTGACATCGCTGCTGCATTTCCTGGTCTCATTTGATTCTGTATATTATCTCTCAAATTTAGATAATATACAGAATTTGGTTAACAGGTTAGAATTTAGAACTTGGTTAACAGGTATCTGAAGCCTGTTGCAATTTCATTTATGAAATTGTAAGCCTTCTGTTAAGGACTGAATATCATGTTCTGCTTTCCCTTATGAAGTTTAATAATTTTTAAAGTATTAATATATTTTAGTGTTATCCTGTTGTTTCTTCTAGAAATTATATAAAAGAGAAGTTCAGCCTCCTTTCAAACCTGCTTCTGGAAAACCAGACGATACTTTTTGTTTTGATCCTGAATTTACTGCAAAAACACCTAAAGGTAATGCATGTGTATGTTAACATCAGAGCTTTTATTCAATTAGATGGTTAAAAAACTACACTAGATTCTTAGGTAAAAACTAAAGGAATTGTAAGTTTCCAAAGGGTGGTTTGGCCTGTATGGAAGTGTGGATCCTAGGTACAGCATTGCTTGGACACCTTTCAAGTAGAGGCTTTACATGGGAAATATTTATTAAGGAAGCAGGAACTAGAGCAAAGTGTGAAAGTTTTCTTTTTTTCTTATTTTAAAACTTTTTTTGACATGCTGATGCATTAGTTGATGGGGGTAGGAGGTAAGATATGAGATATATCACTCTGACTAGACTTTAATGGGGTTTGCTTTTATTGGCATCTGTTCAACAAATATTGAATACGTACTATGGCCTAAGCAGCAAGGTGCAGTAGTGAACAGAACAGACAAAAATTATAATACACATGGAGCTTGCATACTAGTATGGGGAGACAGATAATGTACAATAAGTCAAATAATATAGTAGTCTGATAGTAACGTTTAATGCTTTCCTCTATATTCAAAGAAATGCTGACATTTCATATCATGGAAGTCTGTGTAGTTCTAATTAAATAAAATTATTTGGACATTAGATTCTCCTGGTTTGCCAGCCAGTGCTAATGCTCATCAACTCTTCAAAGGATTCAGCTTCGTTGCAACTTCCATTGCAGAAGAATATAAAATCACTCCTATCACAAGTGCAAATGTATTACCAATTGTTCAGGTAAATTCCACTTAACGGATTATTCAGTTACTTACAGTGATTTTGAAATGATGTTTAATTTCTTTATTTATCTCTTTGCATAATAATGAATTGAAGATGACTCTATATGTTTTAGAGAAAAGGATTAACCTTGAATTATATTTGTGCATTTTTGTAATCTCTTTTGGCGAGAAAATGTAATGGGTGATATATTAGCTAGTTGCTGTATTGTATTGGTTTTGGGGATCTAGAAAGCCTACAATTTAGGATCAGCTCAGAATCTGTGTAAGCCATTTATAAATACTGATAAAACTTCTCTAGAATTATTCTTAGATTTTGTAAAGATTTGGGAAGAATGTATACTTAGAAGATAAAAATTGTGAAAATATATCATTCTCTTTCATATTTTACTTTTTAACAAAAACAGATAAATGGAAATGCTGCACAGTTTGGTGAAGTGTATGAATTGAAAGAGGATATTGGTGTTGGCTCCTATTCTGTTTGCAAGCGATGCATACATACCGCTACCAACATGGAATTTGCAGTGAAGGTATTATCTCTGAGCCTGACTTTTTGTTTGTTTGTTTTATATATGTGTAGGTTAAATTGCAGGTTAACTGACAGACATTTTTCAGTGGAGCAAGTGGAAAAGCAAAGATAAAATGATTAGGAAGAACTCTTTAAGACTTTATTTTCATTTTGAATTTCTTTCCAAGACTTTATTTTGTTCAATAAAAAAAGCCTTCATTTTGGAGGAACAGTGTATTTCATGAATGTCTTGGCTTTTGAATAATTTTACTTTAACGTAGTATGTTACTATCGAGCAAATGTGACAATTACTATCACATTTCAATCACATTATCAGTTGATATAATTTCAGTTAAATGGAAAATAATGTTAAGGAGCATTCTTTTTTTTTATTAAGTTTTAGTTATAGGAAATTTTTAAATGTTAAAATAATGTGAGAAAAATATCACTCTTGAGTTTTATGTATTTGTTTGAAAATAGAATCAAATTGAAAATATGTCATTTATTTTTAGACAAATAAAATTATTTTCTTCTGAAATTTTTATTTGTTTTATTTCTTAGATCATTGACAAAAGTAAGAGGGACCCCTCGGAAGAAATTGAAATTTTAATGCGCTATGGACAACACCCCAACATTATCACTTTAAAGGATGTAGGTATTTAAAATCTGTGTATCAGCTAAGCTAATGAAGTTATGACTTGGCACTTTATTTTCTTATTGAAACTTTTCATGTCCCTAGTATATTTACTTTCATGCCACAAAATCTTAAACCCCTTAAATTTGCCACTTCAGTTATTTCTTTCCCCTATGGTGGAATACTCCTACCATTTTTACAGAACATCAGAAAGGAACTGTGATGTTTGGAAAATGAGAGTGTCATGATTACTTGAATGTATTCTGGCTGGTTAGTTTGTTTACCTTAGCACCAGCTCCATTCATTATTTTCTAGTACTACAAATATAGAAGATAAAGGAGATTGGGATTCTGCCAAATTCTAGATTTTACTTTCTTGATTGTACATCAGTTGGCTATAGCATTATGGATTGTTGCTTGGGTGAGATAGTATTAGTCTATAGTTTGTAAAATGAACATATAACTCATATTAATAGATGTTACTGATTACTGACTTTTCACATTAAGAAAATAATGCTCTTTTCTCTTTAGGGAAGGCAGGCAAGTGAACCATCACCTTGATCAGTTTGTTTCAGATAATATGATATGCATTTGGATTGGTAATCCTTAAATAGTTGTCTATATGTATATATATACATGTAAATATATATATATGTATATAGACATATACACACATGTGTGTTTGTATGTATAGATATATATGCCCTCCAGTAAAAAGGTGTACATATTTTTAATTTATTCTCTTTGATATAATATTTGAATTCAATAAATATTTAAGACACCATGTCAGATAATGGACTGTGGTGACGATATTAAAAAACAAATAATACATCTACTGCTAGAATGGAGCTTACTACTGTTAAGGAAGAGAAGCTTTAATATAGTTAAAAATGAGATAGATGCCATTTGAGAGACATAGAGTTCTATTTTTCCGTTTATATTCTTTGATGAAGTATAACAAAAAACTTCAGAAGTTAATAAAATTATATATTTAACATGGTCTCACAGACAGTGTAGGAGATTGTTTAGCCAGTTTAATCTTCAGTACAGCCTGTACTATATTAATAGTAAAAGAATAGAAGTTCATTAGAAAAGCAAAGTAAATATAATTTAAATATTTCAGAATTGTAATTATAAACAATAACATTTAAATAATATGTTCTTTTTTAGGTTTATGATGATGGTAGATATGTTTACCTTGTCACGGATTTGATGAAAGGAGGAGAGCTACTTGACCGTATTCTCAAACAAAAATGTTTCTCAGAACGGGAAGCTAGTGATGTACTGTTTATAATAACTAAGACAGTTGACTATCTTCACTGTCAAGGAGTAAGTTGTAGTTATATTCTTCCTTTCAATTCTGGGATTTATAACTTCATAAAATTATATATAAGAGATAACACTTGAAATACTTTTCTATCACATATTTTTGTATAGAATATTATAATAAAACTCATAATGTAACAGTTATAGATTTAGGAAATTGAGTAATACCTTATTAATTCTCTTCACTCTGCCTGTTAGCCCTAATTTAATAGCATATTAATTTTAAAAGTTGTTTGAATTATATAAATGTGTCTAACTTTGACTTTGAAATTATTAAACCTAATCAAACTTAAAAGTGAAACAGAAAAGAATTATCCAAGAATATGTTGTTATGAATATTATTCAAATTATACTATGCCTAACATATAAAATTCTGGCAGTAAAAGGACACTATATCTTGACTCTTGCCAACACCTCCCCCAAATACAGTAAGAAATTTGGATTCTGAACATTTGAACTAGTAATATATTAAAATTTCTGGTGTATAAGCAGGCCTGTTATTTTGCTTCCTGTCTCTTCATAAAAAAAGCAAATGAATTGAATTACCAAAAAGGTCACTATTATCATATATATAGCTAAACAAGGAAAAAGTCACAAATAATTTAAAAATTTAAGTTCGAATCAGTTGTAATAAATAGTGGATATGTACCCACTTAAGTATAAACAATTAAAAAACTGACAACTCAGAATTGGCAACTCAGAATTAGAAAATTCTACGTGGGCCCCTCTTATAATTAAGAAAAATAAGCCAACAGTCATTTTTGACTGTGGTTTAATAGAGTATATTTTCAACATTTTGAAATAAAACTGTATAATGCTAAAGGAGTAGTTCTATTATAATTTAATTCCTTGATTATCTTTATCAACACCCTTTAAAATAAAGGATGACCAGAATTTTTGAAAAGAGGAAAATAGTAAGCATCTTTTCTTTAGTTTCTTATTTTAGAAATAAAATGATATATGAATTAAATAAATTAATGACATACATGTGTTGAGCATTTCTACATGCCAAACATTTTAAAAGGTGTTGCAGGTTTAACCATGAGTTTAAGACTTGATCCTTGTCTTTAAAGAGTTTTCAGTGTGCTAAACTGCTTATTAAAGATGGGACTAGATTAAATGAAGTGTATGGTATCAGTAGGAAAATCATCACATAGAGAATTTTAGAATATTTTCCATTTCTAGCATTTCACTTGGTTCTTACTCATTGTTCTTTTTCTTCTGCTGAGAGTTTCATGCATTGAAAGCATGTTTTGTTTTACTTCATTGAGTGTTGTTACAATAGCCACTTTAGTTTTTAAATTTCTTTTATATTTATTTAGTCTTGTGAATTTTGAACAATACATTTTTGTTGAGATATAATTGACATAACACTGTGTAACTTTAAGGTATACAATATGCTGATTTGATACATTTATGTATTTATATACTACAATATGCTTACCACCATAGCATTAGCTAGCATATCTAACATGTCACATATGATAATAGCCACTTTAAAATCCTTGCTCTTAGGTCCAACATGATTTATCTTGTAGTTGGAATTGCTTTTCTTTTTCCTTGAAACTGTGTTCCATTATTTTTTAGTTCTTCATATACTAGATAATTGTGGACTGTGTACTGTAATTTGAATATTAACTTATGTAGATTTGTTATATTATGTTATTTTCTCCAGTGATTGTTTTTGTTTATTTTAGTGGGTAATTTTGTTACCAGGGTTTGCACTGAAAACTCTGCTTTCTGGGGAGCAACTCTCGTCTCTGTTTATGTCTTTCTTCTTTACGGACTACTTTGAGCCTCTTCTATACATTTTTGATTCAGGGATCCGTTCTGGCTCTTTCCCTTACAGTATACCTCCCCTCAGCATTCACGATTTCTCAGCATTACTTCTCTGTTTCTCCAGGCCAAAGAGACTGTGGGCTTTTCCACATGTTTTCACCATCACTGTGTACCATAGGGACTGTACTTAAGCCTAGGCTAAAAGCCAGAGATATAGGGACCTACTCATATAGCTCCCTCCTTCAATCAAGTATGTACTCCCCACCAGGGTCTTTTTTTTCCCACCAGAGTCTTGTCTCCTTTTGCTCATTCCCCAATACTTACAGAATAGTTGATTTTTGTACTCAAGTTTTATAGTTATTTATCAAGGGGAGGGGAGTGTTGAGTAGGGCCTTAGTCTGTTATATCTACAAGTGGAATTGTGAATTGAGTTTTGATATTTTGAAATTGAAAGTGGTTAACAAAACTGATGGTTTAAATAAAAACTATCACAACTATCTGATAGAGATAATTTCCTCTGTATACTTCAGGTTGTCAAGGCTATCAAGGTTGGAAAAAGTGTCATTTTCAAAATTGTATGATTGAGACAATTCCTTTCCTTGGAAACATATTAACTTACAATGTTTTATTTCACAGATATTTAGTTAGCTATAGAAATATAATGCTTTTTCTCCTTTTACGTTCAAGGTTGTCCATCGTGATCTTAAACCTAGTAATATTTTATATATGGATGAATCAGCCAATGCAGACTCCATTAGGATTTGTGATTTTGGGTTTGCAAAACAACTTCGAGGAGAAAATGGACTTCTCTTAACTCCGTGCTACACTGCAAACTTTGTAGCACCTGAGGTAGTCTTTAAAATTTCAGTATTTGCCTTTCATTCTTTTCCTTTAGTTGAATGTATTATTATGTCCTGTTTGGTAGGTAAAAACTGAGTTATCTTGTCCTTTACCAATAATAAATCTCTTTAAATCATTAAATTCTGATAACTCCCAATATAAATATTCAGACTAGTAACTACATCTGAAACCAACCTGAATAATCAGACTATTCTATTCTGTTGGATTATATACTAGTTTCAGAATCATGCTCTTTTAGAGCTGGGAGGGAGAGTAGAGATAACCCCACCTTCAACATATTAAATATTCCAAATGAGGAAACTGAGGCTCAAAGTACTTAAATTAACTTTTTCAAGACCAGGCATTCACTGAGTAAAAGAGCCAGGATAGATTTTTCAGGCATTTTGATTTGTTTATGCTGAACATGAAATCATTTATATTATTTAGCTTTACACATAACATAGGCAATGCCATCCTAATTGTCTTTAAGATCTTCTAATTCCTGGAGGAAACAAATTCACAGGAGTTTTTGTAAGCAGTTGGGTTTTTCTTGGCCAATAACATTCGTATGTAGATCTTAGATAGAAGAGTCAGGAAAGGTGAGGCTGAGGAAGTCAAGAGGTACATGTTTCACATTTGGCAAGCTCCGGCAATCTGTCAGATCTGATAATGAGGATGGTAAGTTTGACAGTTGCAACTCTCACAGCAGTGAGAGTATGGATGATTAAAAGATGAATCAGGGATAGCACTGGCCATATAGATTCTCTATATAAGTTTTGTTGTAAGGAAAGAATTGTTCTTCTATGTAATGAATAATGCTAACTCATATGAATTACTATGTTTAACACAAATCAAAATACACAAAAATCCTCAGGTTTGAAAAATTGAATTTTCCAAGTCAGAAGAAAAATAAAATAATTTGAGGATGAATTTCTATCTCATATACATGTTTTTATTTTATTTTTGTATTAAATACTAGCCCTTTCTGGATAATATTTCACATCAGATATACAACATATTTCTTACATTTAAATATCAACAAATCTGTATTTTAATGCAGCTATTAGAAAAATACTGTTTCTAGTAATCAAAATAGAAATGTAGAAATATGAAAATAACTTTCTAACTATGAAAAATTCCCATGTTATAATGTATTAAATCTTCCTTTAAGATGTTAATGTTGAAGAAGAAGCATAACACTTTACAGGGCTTTTCTAAGATTTGCCTTGCAAGAAATTATGTACATATTCATAGAATGTGCATTAATCTTTATTTTAATTACATTCAGAGCATAATGAATGTACAAATTTTTATCACATTAAAGTACATAGAAACTTTATTTCCCCAATTAAAAATTGGCATACCTGCATGATCCCAAAAGGAGTTATTGTACTATCCCAGGTGTAAGAGATGTAGCTCAAACATTAAAAAAATTAGCTTTTCTAGGACATTTCAATGGTTTTGTAGGAAAAGAAGAAAATATTTGAGATTAAGGCTCTTCTGTTAAATATAGGATATATAGTCATAACAAATATTCTAACATATTTATGCAGTAGATACAACAGAAGAGTATAGAATAACCATTTTAATGTCCACTTTCTTAATAGTGACCTAATCATGTGGACCCCTTGGTATGATGGAAACTTCTCACTAGAAAAAGTTAAGGGTGAATGTGTCCCAAATGAGAATCTTAAAAACAGACATTAAAATGAAAAATATACAGTATGTCTGTGTTTAGATTAATGGTTAGGTAAACATTTTTAGATTAATGGCTAGGCAAACATTTTCAAATGAGTGTAAATCTGCAGAGTAGAATACAGCCTATTGATGCTTTTTATCCTAACAAACTTTCATTGTAGTAAGACACTCTCACCATTGTAGAAGAGTGAAGGTTTTCAACTGGGCATATGGAGACGACTTCTCTGTAACTAATGCCTCTAGTGTCTGAACTGTGTTTGGCTAGGCTTGTATTTGTATTTTCAGAATGCTTTGAAAAGTTTTATTATCAAGTGCTGAAGTTTCTGCTAGTGATCAATGAATACTTGTAATTTGTTATGAATGAAATACAGATAAGATTTTGGATAAGATTTGTTTCCAAAATTTCAGACCCTTTCAAAAATTATTAATGAAGTATATGAAATGCATTATCTTTTAAATTAGAATCAGAAAGATTCAAGTATCCATGTAGATATTTGAATGAATAATAGCATTTATGAGGATATAAGTTCATTGTTTCATCACAGTGCATAAAGGGCCCTTATTTGCTAGGATAGAAACTAATTAGTAGTACAGTTTCAGCTTAACAGGAAGGAATATTCATTCATTTTTTGATATGCATCAATTTTGTTAACCTCTTAGGGTTTATTTACTTAGTAGGTGTTTTCTATTATACCTATGTCACAAAATTAATATATCTCTGAAATATTTTATTCTTTTATAAAAGCAAATCTATCATATTATTCAACTGATATTTGATGCCTACTGAGGTCTAAGAATGATCCTGAATTAGAGGAATTTACAATATATTGTAAATTGGATGGATGCTGTACCTACAACTCTTTAAAAAATAAATATGAAATTACCCTGCTTTGCTCTGGCTTTGAGCTGCCGTATGTTTTGCTCCAAATATGAATTAATTTGAACTTTAGAGCAAAGGGAGTGAGAATCTCCGTCTGTGTTACATTTTGCTAATTTGAGAAGCCAAATGAAAGAGAAGATAATGTTGTTAACTACTTTAATTCTGACTTCTATCTTCTTTGTATTTAACTTGATGTAAGTAAGAAGGTATGAAACACACCTGCACTGTACTTTTTCATTCATCTCACCACCTTGCCTTGTTTCTTTCATGGCTGTATGTTCTTACTATCTATAATAGTACTCACTATTGAGACCCACTCTAGAACAAAAGGGCCTCTTCTTTACTCATACAAAATGGGTTTAAGTGTGTGGTAAATCTAAAACAAGTTTTTCATGGTTGGACCTAATTAGGCAAATGATTCCTCCAGTGCCTTCCTTCTCATTTTACTAGAAAGGTTATGGGAGTATGAAATACCTAGAGCTGACTCACTGATTAACCCTTGCCTGTCTAACTAGTTCCTAAGCAGTCCCTAAACCTTGTCTATGCATTGGATCATCTGTGTAGCTTTAAAGCTACTGTCATAAGGGAACCAAGGAAAATACGGTGATGCCCAGAACTGTAAGAAGTGAGAAAAGGAAAGAGATGAGGGAAAAGAGGAGGAATGGTTTATGTTTTACTAGAGGATGCCAAGTTAGGTGTACTGTGATGTGAATTGTTTAGCTCTGCCTCATTATTTATTAGGGGCTTTCTAGTCTCCATTTGTGTTATTTACATAAGCCAGTTATATAGGTATTTTGATAGCCTCTTCAGCTTCTCAAGTTTGCACACATGTGTGTTCTTATAAGTATACTCTGACTATGAAAAAAAATTATATCTTGAATTTTAAATTAGATACTTATTATTTATGTCTGGTCATTGTCAAAACCGAACATTAATATTTTTTAGCCTTTATAAATGAAATGTCTATGCTTATGGTTATGCAGTCCCCAGTGTTAATGCATTGGTAATGTTTCTATTTTCTTCCTGTGTCTAAGGGCTTTAGCAGTGGGCTTGTTTTTCTGAATGAAAAAATAAAGGCCTCATTTCATCTCTTTATTTTTCTAACAAACTCTATTAACGTCACAGAGAAAACACATGAATGTATAATAAATGTTACTTGATTTTTATTAATACTAGTCACAAGAGAAAAAAACAGCTACCTAAATTATTGCATAAAAAATAATGAAACCATTCAGTATTTACCAAATGTGTGTTTGTGATCCAGAAATATACTAATCTTTTTTAAGACATAAGACTTGTATGTAAAATATAAGTTCATCTTGCTTTCATAAGATTATATATAATTTTACCATCTCTTGTGTAGTCAGGAGGCAGTTATAATAGATATTAAAACTGTAGGCTTTACAGTAAGAAAACCTGCTCACCACTCACTAGTTTTGTGATATTGGGCAAATTATTTAATTCTTGCCTCAGTTTCCTCATCTTAAATGGAAATATCTATCTTATAGAATCAGTGTCAGGGTTAAAAGACCAGACTATGTGTAGGATATATTAATATCTCTGTACATATTATTTTAAATTTTGATGTCTGTGTCTGGTTTTCCTAAGAGGAGGACTTGTGAAAGCTCATTGAGGTCAGGAATCATATCTTATGAGGTGGTTTTTTGTATCATCCATGTTACTTATTCACCTTATTAATAGTCACTTATTCAGTGTTTGTTAATTGCAGAAGACTTTGCCTTTAACATTGTGAATCTATTTTTGAAAATATTAAAATGATCTAACTTTAAAAATTGTGAACATTTGTGAGATTATTAGAAGCACAACTTTCTTCTAGATGAGAAAACTGAGTTTATACTGAGTAGTACCAGATAATGAATATTTCTTTCTCAGGTTCTTATGCAACAAGGCTATGATGCTGCTTGTGATATCTGGAGTCTAGGAGTCCTTTTTTACACAATGTTGGCTGGGTAAGAAATTTATATACTCAAAACAGTTCACATAATTACTTGAATTTCACGTGTATATTTTTATCTAGAAAGGGGACAGATGAAAATAACCTTAAGGAAAATGCTACCAACATTTCAAAATATTATATATTGTTTACTTATAATTAAAAAACAAAGGTGTTGAATGAGGCATTATTCAGATATATAATTAAGAGATTGTTCAACTGGAACTAAAACTTTTTCAAATAAAGCATATATTTTTATTTTGACACTTTACATTTGAGTGCATTACTTGTTGAAAATGTTTACTTGAGCATAAAATAATTTCACAGTTCAACAGGTGTTTACCCACTGAATTTGCTGATGTTGAGTTAATTTTTTTAAGTACTTGAGTTTTGGTTCTCTTGGCAATAGAGATTTAGTAAAATTGAGCTTTATAACTGAAATAAAATAGTAGCAGAACACTAAACTACAGAAACACACAGCTGTGTTCTCTTAAAAGGATAAATACTTTAAAAAGTAACAGTTGGATTATGTTAATATTGTTAGTTTATAAATAATAAAAGTGCTGTTTTACTCTTAATAATGAGTAGCACTTTTATTTAGGAGTAGAAATTTATGGCTGTAGAAAAAGACTAGGTTTAGGAAAGTCTAATGCATAGAATGGAATTTGAAGAATTATAATGTAATTATAACGTACTTAGGTGTGACTTATTTTTTTACCCTTGTGAGGTGGACAAACTAATATGGAACATTATTTTACATTGTTTTAAAATATACTTGATTGTAAAACCCTTTGAAATATCTTAGTGTTCAAACTTGTAGTGTGTAAAAATATTAATATTTGTGTTGTTATCCAAAAATGTCCTAGATAGTATAAAATTTTAAATAACATTAGTTTTAGGTGTGACTTTTAAAGAGGGAATTTAGTGTAATTAAATATGCTTGACATAGCAGGCACTTTATAAATATGTTATGAAAATGGTGAGTAAATTATTTATTGGCTTGGTACTAATCACATATATCAGGATATTCCATGTACTTTTAGACATATGCAGAATATTTAGTTATAGACCACAGCAAGTGCCAAAGTTAAGAGTGGCTAAAGTTTGCATATGAACTGCAATCAACAGTATTGGTTTTCAAACCATGGGATACCGCTTCTTGATTGCTGCTTTCAAGTATTTACTTTATGACTAAATAAAACATTTTGTGTGTGTGTATATGTATGTGTGTTTAATGTTATCTCAGCTCAGTTCTTACATGAGGGAATTAACACATTAACATATTGACATCTTACAATTTTTAACCATGTCGTTCCATTCCCAAATTTGAATACCATTTTTATTTCCATTTGTAAAAAAGGTACAAAACTGATCACTTGTCACTGTATAATTATTTTTTAAACTACTTTAACTTCATAGAATGTATTTGTCTTCCTGTCCATGAATATTGATTCACATAATGACTTTAATGGCTATCAAGGATTTTTCTGTTATATTGATATAAATATTTAACCCATTTTTCATAGACATTAATTAAAAAATATTAACTTGTTCTCACTGGTAATATTGTTAAAGTGCTAATGAATAAATTTGAGCCAATACAATAAATACATTATGAATATATAGAATTAACAATTTCTTCATAGTAAGTATATTTGGTTTGCTACCTTATGCCTGTGAGAATACAAAATTTGCATGTTTTATTCTAGTCTGATTTTCAGACTGTAGCTTTACATAAAAAGCCACCTTTATTTTATTTTGCATTGATTTATTTGCATTTTATTTTGAAAGGCAAAAAATACTACTGATATAGGCAAGACCTCATTTTATTAAATAATTCATTAGGATTAAGTTCATTGTTTTAAATGTAAAGTTTGATATGAACAGTAAAGGGAAATTTTAGGTAATGTTCTTAATTTGCTATAGTAAATATTTGCATGTAGTTCTATACTCATCACTTTCAATTAGATTTGATATATATGTTAGGCCTGCATGTTTGTTAAAATCTTTTTTATTAATAGCTACACTCCATTTGCTAATGGCCCCAATGATACTCCTGAAGAGATACTGCTGCGTATAGGCAATGGGAAGTTCTCTTTGAGTGGTGGAAACTGGGACAATATTTCAGATGGAGCAAAGGTATAAATTATAAATATGTTTTGTTTTGTTGCATTCCTGTTAATTGATGAAATCTCTTTTAAGTTATAGCCTAGGCTGCATAACGGAGTATCTCATGGTATTTTATGTCAGTATTTGTTTTAAGTCACAGTATATATTTTTAAATCAATTCACATGTATGTGTGAATTGAGGAAGAAAAAAGGCTGACTTTTTTTCTGCCATGCTTCTGGGACACATTCCTCTCTTATCAGTTCATATATGATCAGGGAATATAAACTAGTTTCAGTTTTAACCAAAACTAAAAATGTAAATCTACTGAGCAAAAATACAAAAAGCCAGCTAAGTTGATTTCTGCATTCAGTGTGTTTTTACATCACTTCTTTTTTAACACAGATATTGACTAGTGATTATGTAGGTGATTTTTATAATTTTAACTTATTCTTAGAGAATATACAAACTTTCTATCAGTAACACCTAGATATTTACAGTTGATAGTTTAGAGCTGTTCGACAGAAATGTAACCAAGCCACATGTAATTTTAAAATTTCTAGTAGCCATATTAAAAAAAACAAAAAGAAACAGGAGAAATTAATATTAATAATGTATTTTATTTAACATTGTATATCTAAAGTATTTCAATGTCTAATTAATATTTTAAAAATTAGTGAGATATTTTAAATTCTTTTTTCACACTAAGTTTTCAAATTCTGGTGTGTATTTTATACTTACGGCCTGAATTTGGATTTCCCTAAATTTTAAAAATGCTTGATAGCCACGTGTGGCTAGTGGCTGTCATATTAGTGATGTTTCAGAGTAACCGACCTTATTCAATTTAGGGAAAAATAATTGTTCAAGACTTGATTACTAATTCTTACATTTATAATGTGAAAATTTTAAGTTTTCAAACAAAACCCAAAGGTTGTCAGCATGTGATTTGTAGAGCCCTGAAGCTTTTAATTTGCTTTTGAAGTAGATAACATTTTAAGAAAAAGGATTTGCTTATATTTAATATCTACTAATGATAAAACCTAATTGTCTGACGGACATTAGCTAATCTGTAGGATTTATTATGCAGTAAAACTTGTATTCTTATCATTGTAGAATAAATAAATCAGGGATTTCATTACCATTACCTTTTCAACATTTAAAAAACAGCAAAGGAATTTTGTTTGGCTCTTAGCCATAATACAAGTGTGCTGTGTGGTGTAGTAAAAGGAACAACTGATTGGAAGCCAGGAGAACTGAGTGCTAGTTTTTGATCTACTAATTAGCTGCTTCAGTTTTCTCTTCTGTAAAAGTTGGGAACTAAGTTATCCCTTTGGTTCCTTCCAACTCCAAAATTCCATTTCTATAGAATTTGGTTTATTTATAATTTATCAGATTTCCCTTTGTAAAGTGATTGAAACTACTAATATTATTCATTAAATATATGTATTTTCTTGTCAGCCAGTTTGTGTGTCATAAAGTACATTTTTCCAAGGAACAGTTCCAGTGTTTAAAGCTATACAAATAATCCTCTTGTGTTCTTTTTTTAAAAAATAACTAACAACAGTGAATATAATGGTGAAATAGAGATGCATATGCCAATTGTGCTTAGATTTTTGATTTTCTATGTTCTATGTGTTCTGTGGTTCTGTCTAGTTATTAAAGAATACTACATATTAAAATTTAGTTTTATTCTCACCTCTTTTGGTCTGACATTCTGGAGAAATTAACATAGAAAAAATATTGGGAGATATTGTTGAAATATTTCACAAGGTCTTTCATGCATTCCTTTTTTATGGGTTAAGTGACTAGTTCTGTCTTTGACATTTTTCTGAAAATGGTGGCAGATTACTGTGCAAATGAGCTAGCTGAACTTTTAAAAAAAACCGTCTTCTGTACATTTTAACAGTTCAATTTTTTGTTTGTTTTAAATTAGTGATGGAGGTAAACTATTGTTGAGTTGCTCATAACCCCTTATACTAGTGTCCTTTATTTGACAGAACTGTAACGTTTGCTGTCACCTTATGACAATCATTTTACTTATAGTTCCTTACAAGTTACTATTCCCTTTTAAATGCTTTTTTTTTTAACCATTGATGAGTATCATTACCTGAAGCATATAAAAGGTGATTCTGTTTGCCTCCTGTCGGTGCATAGTTCCTAGACTTTGTTCATTCAGTTAAATGGAGGTGGGAGTGAGGGTGATAATGGAAGTCATGTTAGCTTTGTGTGTCTTATTGCTGCAATAGTTTCAGCTAACTCCTCACCTTGAAACCCTAGGCTTTGAGAACATTGACACTGCTGCTTCCTTTTTGTCAAACAGTGGGGACAAGGAGAGGAATCTGGTAAACAAAGCAAAAGTAGAAGAGGCAAGAGAGTCATGAAAATTTCATGGTGTCACTCTATACTAAAAATAAACACAGTAATACTTTATTACTTAGAAGACATCTCTATCTAAATTTTATAATGTTTTAAATAAAGTGTTACTTATTTCAAGTACATATACTCTTGACTAACAACGAATTGTCCAGTAGAATTTCTTATAAGAGAGTTATTAGGCTTCTTCCCTTGCCTCCTTTACAAAGAGCAAGCAACTTGTACTTTTCCTCAACTGAGTTCCCATTACTACATTGTATGCACTTTATTAGAGTATGAGTACTTACCACTGTTCTTTCTGGTTACATATTCATTTGTATACATTTTTATTCTTCCCATTCAGGGAACTTCAAATGTCATGTTCAGTTTTGCATTTCCTATCACATCTAGCATAATAGATACTTAGTTGAATACTCTTTTCACAAACTAATATTTTCTTCAGATATTCTTTACATTGTTAATTTACATTGTAGCTTTTTTGTCCAATATATAAAGATAAATCTTTTCCTATTGTGAATGGCTATAAATTTTAAATAAGTAGTCAGGTTTTATGTAAATATTTCTTTTCCATTTTGACTTGAAGTTGCTTTTAATTGAAGTCTTTGTCCATGTATTTACAAGTGATAGATTTCTAGAGCTAGATGGGATCTGATCTGTCATTTTGCAGATAGTTAAACCAAGATGCGTAGAATTTATCTTGTCCATGGTCACACACTGAGTGGCATAGCTGGAACTTATTTTCAATCCTGTACTCTTTTCAGCCTACCACATGTTAGGGAAGACTTTCTGGAGGCAGAAAGGCTTTATTTGCTTGGCTTATGTGGATGGAATGGAGAAGAAAGAGGTCTATAACCCTTTAATAATAGAAGGTTCTAGGGTAAGGTGTTATTGTTCACCCACTTCTTTTCTATAATATGGAAGTGAAGCATGCTGAAGCTTAGTACCCTTTAAATAATCTATATTACAGAGCAGCTTTACAGTTAAAACACTATATTGAAATCCTTCTGTAACTTCAAGTACTATAGCTTTCAAAATGTCTGAACAAAGCTAGGAAGATGTACTAGCAAATTCAGTAATTAGAGTTATGCTCTTAATCATGAGGGATAATTGTTACCTATAATCAAGGCAGAAAGTGTTACTTAAGTATGTATGGAACTCAGTCTTTTATGAGAACTTCCTTATACTGGAGGGGGTATGACTTGTAACATATTTTACAGAATTAAAATGCTTGCAGTATAATTAGTAATAACCGCAATGAAAAAAAAATGGTTTATCTCAGTCACATTATTAAAATTGGAACAGAAGCGATGAATTATTAATCAGTAGTTTCCAAATTTTAACGACTTGCCACCTGTGTACTGTGAGAATAGGAAAATTGCTATTCTCCTGTATTCATGTTTGTTCAAGGAATATGGAGTTTTGCTGGCATTTACTTAAAATGGGTATAAAAAATAAGATATCTTTGATGTCTAAGTTAGATTAGGTGAATTATTTTAATTAGTAATGGTTTTCTTCCAATTAGATTATCTAACTAAATACCCAGCCAGTTGTATATCTTGTCATAGCTCAGTATCTTTTTTCCAAACTGGTCAACACTGCTATATCTACTTTGATAAAAATGGAATTATTCATATGAAAGTGACAGATTTTTGAAAACTGTGGGTGAACTCATTTTCCTCTTAGCTATCAAGAAAATTCAGTGAGTATTACTTAAGATAATGATATTTTTGCTCTTTCATTTGTCGTCCATCTTCCTGTCATTCTGTCAAGGACAACTTGCTACTTATTTTCGAGGGAGATGAAAAGAAATAATATAAATTAAGTCCTATTAAAACTGCTTCGAATTCTTTAAAAGAAAGTTTTAGCAAAATGTTGATACTTTGGCTGTGAAGCCATTTGATGTCAAAAACTAATCAACATCCTGTTCATGTCTTTCCAAGGAAACAATTATATGTTTTGTAAGCATTTAGGACATGGCCATATTTACTGCATTTTCATTTTAATTTAAGGAGAATCTACTTTGGTTTTGGAAATCAGTCTTTATCTCCAAATATAAATTGACAGTCTCAGTCTTATATAACTTAGCTGAATTTTGCCATAGAAATAATTATATCCTTTTTGCTTTAACACGGTTTACCATACATCACAGTTTGTATGGGACAGTCTTGGTTTAGGTGCCTTTGGCTCTTAAGTGTCCCAGTTTGGATAACAAATTATATGGTCATCCTAGCTTTAGCTGTCCTTAAATTTGGTTAAATTTTTTCAATGAATGTATAATAAAATTTAATATTGTTACACTTTGTTATGAAAAACTGATTTTTTTCTGAAACAGGGATTTTGATATTTTCCATGAATGCTTACTTAGTGCTATAAACATTGAGTACTCATCGTGTTTACATGATAGTTATTACTTTAAAAAGAAAGCAACAATTAATTATTTAAAGTTCAGACATCAACATTGAGTTTAATAGAGAAGATTGGAAGGTAGCATAGTTTAGTACTTATGAGCCAGGCTCTTACTGACTGCCTGGATGCATATCCTTACTTACTAGTTATGTGTTACATACTTACTGGCTATGTGACCTTGGAAATGGTGCTCAACATCTTTGTGCTTCAGTTTCAACATCTGCAAAGTGAAGATAGTAATGGTACCTACCTC